GCTCGGGTGGGCTCGGTGGGTTCCGGCCGGCGCGGGAGAGCCGGGCAGCGAGTCCTGCCGGCCCTTCTAGGGCGTTGTGGGCGCTCTTGGAGGCCTCTTGGGCCTTGTTGGGGCGATCCTGGAAGCCTCTTGGGCCGTGTTGGAGCGTTGTTAAGCCCCCACGGCGAGAACGCCAAACAACCTTAAGAAACTGAAGGCAAATCACGATGTTCTGCCTCTGTGGGCCTACTTGGGAGCTCTCTTGGAGGCCTCTAGGGGCGTCTTGAAGGCGCTTTGGGCTGTCTGGAGGCCCTTGGCGTCTTGGATCGGTCTTGGGCCGTCTAGCGAGTCTGGCGAGCTGCAGTCCCGTATGAATCGTATCAGGACGCGCGGTAAAAAGGCCAAGGGTCTTGGGAGGCCATGCCGACTCTTTGCAAACGGGGCGCGGCCAGCGAAAGCGGCCACGGATGGGCCGAGGGGGGGGATGCAAAGGTAACCTTGGAAAGTCGTTCATCCTTACTACGCGGGTTGACTGTAGTTCTTCAAGCCCGTCTTCCCTTGCAGGGGGTGGTTGACCCCTGGTTATGGAGGGGGAGGTCGCGACGCGTTTGATCGTCCAAGATGGCCCAACATGTCTCCAACATAGCATTAGATAGCCCAAGACTGCCTTCAAGATGGTACAAGATAGCCCACGATGGCTCAAATGCCCTCTCGCATGCCTCCAAACAGCCTCAAGTTCAAAGACGGGCCCAAATGGCTACGGAACCTTCCAAGGACGCCCCAAGATGCCAACCTCACTCCCAAACCTTAAAATTCCCAAATCTACATTGAAATCCCAAAACATTAAGAACATCAGTGTGGCGTGTCTTCAGGCCCGTTCGCTTCCGATGGGCACTCGAGGCCTCAAAATGGCTCTGACATGGCCCAACATAACCCCAAGGGGGGCCCCAAGACGGCCTCAAGAGCTCCCAAGAGCGCCCCAGGGGCGCCCCAAGAGGGCTCCAAGAGGCGATGTTGAGGGCCTCGAAACGGGGACCCCCCATTCTTTGATCAGTAGCCTCCAAGATGGCCCCAAGAGCGCCCCACATGCCTCCAAGATGGCCCCAAAAGATCTCCAAGAGGGCTCCACGACACTCCCAAAGGCAGCAAAGAAGGCCCCAAGATGCCTCCAAGAGCCTCCCAGAGCATGACTGAATACTCCTGCCCATCCCTGAACAGGGCAACTCGCGGGCGATTGGTTTTGGATGGGCTGGTGGGGATACTTTTTAGTCAACGGCCGCGGGCGGAAGCGCCGGCGGCGTGTCAAGTCAAAGCGGGTACGCGCCACAGACTAATTAACAGCAGAACTGGGGCACAGTACTGCCAGAGTGCGCATGCAAGACGCCGAGGCGGGAAAGGCACGAGGTCGCGGGAAAAGCAACAGAGCGACGGGCGAGGCGACAACTAAGCGCGGCCGAGGCCGCAGGGGGGGGGGCTGCCGGGGCTGAGCTGAGGGGAACTGCCGTGTGCACAGCAGCAAGTCAGTCGGGCGTCACGCGTCGGAGAGTCAACGACGGCCAGGGACAACACCGAGAGAGAGCTGGAGGGGATACGCGAAGCGTCAATAGCTGGAGAGGGTGGGTGACGAGGAGAGAGAGAGAGAGAGAGAGAGAGAGAGAGAGAGACGGAGGCCCCACCTCCAGGGACTGCGTGAAGCCTCCAGACCCCGTCTGGACACCAGCATGTCATCGAGACCGCTGCCCTGCCAGAACCGGTGCTGCCAGCTGGAACTGCTGTATAGCCACGATGCGGCCAGCGTCAAATACGCACAGCCCCTCCGCCGGCCCCCGCAGGACAGCCAAGAGGGTTGGGCCACAGGAGAGCTCCCGAAAGGACCCAGCGGAGGCCCCGACAAACAAGGCCCCCCCTCCCCCCAGCAACGAAAAACCGGCACGGAGCCCAAACGCCTCTCGCGTTTGTTCGATCTGACTCCCGGGGGGGGGGGGGGGCGCGCGCAACGTGGGCATGGGCCTTGCCCGTGCTCGATGACTGTATGCTCGGGTGGAGTGGCGCACGACGCACCACCTCCGCCGCCCGCCCGAGCGGGGAATCCTTGCGACAACCCCCCCCCGAGGAGAGAAGAGGAGAAAGAATAGAGAGCCAGAGGGAGGGAGGGCAGGGGCGACATTGGTTCTCTTGTTTCGTTGGGGGGGGGGCCGCGAGGCAGGCCGGCGGGGGCGACAGAGGAGAGGCGAAGCCAGGAGAGGCCCTAAAGGTGCTCACGGGGCCCCTCATCTCCACCGATGTGCAGCCCACCCGTATCACAAGGACGCGCGATAAGAATCCAAGGACCTTGGAGGGCCGTTTCGAAGCTTCTCGAGCGGGGCGCGGCCAACGAAAGTGGCCAAGGATAGCTGAGGAGGCAAGGATTCGAGGGTACCCTTAGAAAGGTCGCCCATCCTTGCTATGCGGGTTGACTGTATGATCTAGACCTCCGCGATCGCCGACGAGGTCCCAGATCCCCACGAGCTCCAGAGAAGTCCCAGGTCCAGGAGCCACGAGGTCCCATCGGGGATCTAAATACTGACACGGGTCAATCCAAACCCGGGCCAGTCCAGCTTCGCAGGATCCTGCAGGATCCTGCGCCGAAGCCCCGGGTGAGTGCAACCCTGGCGTCCTGCAGGATCCGGCGCTCCGACTGACCCCGTTGCATTGACCCCCGTCTCTTGAGCCCCGACCCTGGCCTCCCGTGGCGGCACCACGCAGCGGCGCAGGGGCAGGCCGAGGGGGAGAAAAGGCAGCAGGGGTTGGCCCTGGGCGCCAAGCTTGCTCCTCTGCAGAGGGGCAGACGTCGTGCATGCTTTTGTTTGCAAGACGGTCCAGGATGTTCCTCGATGGTTCTCGCCGAAAGACAATGCGCACGTACGAGCGATGCCGAAGCGCTGTTCCTGGACCTCGGCCTCCCGTGGCGGCACCACGCAGTGGCGCAGGGGCAGGCCGAGGGGGAGAAGAGGCAGCAGGGGTTGGCCCCGGGCGCCAGGCCTGCTCCTCCGCGGAGGAGCAGACGTGGGCAGAACCCCACATTCCTTCGGAGGCCCTTGCGGACTTTACTCGGATCGGCGCTGGAGTCGGGCTGCCGGCGCAAGGGAATGGGGAATCCCAGCGGTGCTACCACTCGCCGCCGCTCGGACGTCCATTCCCTGTGCATGTCTCGGTTTCGGGCGTCTTTCTTTGGCCCAATGGTCGAGGATGTTCCTCGAAGGTCCTCGCCAAGAAAAAATGCACACGTCTGGGCGATGCCAAGACCAACGCTCTGGCAACCGGGCGACCCAAACGAGGGCGCGGTCCAGCAGCGCGACACCTGCGCAACAACGGAGGCGACCCGAACAGGGGGCGGCCTGGACCGGGGCTACCGCAGCACCAGGGAGCCCCAACGGTGCTACAAACGCACCCGCACCTGGGCGACCAGATCGCAGACGATCCAAGTGGGCGACAATCAAAAACAGGTCTTGCGCGAGACGGCGTAGCGACCTTACGTACGCGGTGGCTCACGCAGGCCGCCAGCGCAGCACGCTGCTTTGGAGACGAGGGCGCTTACGCGCGACCTCACGTGGACAGCTTACCCGCCAGTGTCGGCGCAGACGACCACCTACAGTGGAGGCCAGTCCACAAGAAACCTTCCACAAGAAACTCAACCCTGATACCCCAGGGCGTCCATCGTTTTTTGGCGTGGGAACGTCGCGCTCTTCATCGCAAAACCATCGCAACCCAAGACACCGAGGGCACCCTGGAGGCAAACAGGGTGTTTCTTGGCACGGACATCTGCACATGCGCCCTGACGCGTAAGCTTACCCGCCAATGTCGGCGGAAACGACCACCGATTCTTGCGTCGCTCACGTGCGACCCCCCCAACCTGGCGCGCGGAGCGTGCCAAATGAGGGGCTTCACCGCCCGCGGGGTTTAGAGCATGCAGCTGTTGTCCTCCGCACCGCGCCCATTCCATCGACCAAGGTCTTCTCGAGGACCCACTGGCCGGCGATTGAATTGCAGAATGCTGGGTGCACGGGGATCCCACCACCGCACGCGCCGCCCCACTGGTATAGCAGTCTTACACAGCACCCGGCGGTGGCGGTACAGTCGGACCTAGGCCTGAAGAACATCCTTCAAAACATGAGACCCTCCGCCGGCCAAACCGAAAAAACATCTGAGGGTACCCTCCCCCCCGGAAGCACAATAACATCCAACAAGCACGATATTATACCTCGGTCCGACTCGGTCCGACTGCATCCGTCTTGCACAGCACCCAGCGGCGGCGGTACCAGACCGCGTCCAACGAGCGCGCATCTCAATGGCCTCGTCGTTTGCCGTCGAGCCGCTCCCCGAGAAGATCTGCGGCCGAGGACGGCAATCTAGCTCTTGACGTACCAGTCGGCGCCCGCCACGTCCAGCTTCCAGGGTCCGCGAGACACCCGCCCCGCCTGAAGAATCTCACGGCTGCTGGGCTTGACATTGACGCCCGTTCCCGCCGAGGCGGCACGTCAGCGTTGTACCAATCATCGCTGCCTCCCAGACGTCCTTGCCGAAAGTGGAGATCATGTCGGCCCATCCCACACGCTGAGAAAAACGCGTCCGTTCCGCACCTCCTCGTCTTCCTCCTCGTCGTCCTCCTTCTCCTCCTCCTCCTCCTCCTCCTCCTCCTCCTCCTCCTCCCACTGTTCCTCCTCCTCCTCCTCCTCGTCCCCCTCCTCCTCCTCATCATCATCAGCATCATCAGCATCAGCATCATCATCCTCCTGATACTCCTCATCCTCCTCCTGTTCCCTCCCCTCCTCCTGCTCCTCCTCCGTCTTCTCCTCCTCATCCTCCTCCTCCTGCTCCTCCTCCTCCTTCTGCTCCCTCTCCTCCACCTCCTCCTCCTCCTCCTCCAACTCCTCCTGCCACTGTTCCTCCTCCTCGTCCTCCCCCTCCTCCTCCTCCTCCTCCTCATCGTCCTCCTCCCCCTCGGAGTGGGGACCACTTGGCGCCCAGCGGGGGCAAGGAGCCTGCCGGGCAAGATCCAGCTCAGGTCCCCGTTCTCCACCTGGGCGGGCGTGAACCCTGCCCTTTCTCATTGAGCCCGTCGTACAAAGCCCTTGGTACCGCTGACGTTTGTTCATCTTCCTCCTCCTGCTCCTCCTCCTCCTCCTTCTCCCTCCTTCCTCCTCCTTTCCCCTCCTCCTTTTCCCTCCTCCTCCTCCTCCTCCTCCTCCCTTGCCTCCTCCCTTGCCTCCTCCCCTGCCTCCTCCTCCTCCTCCTCCTCCTTCCTCCTCCGCCTCCTCCTCTCCTCCTCTCTCCTCCTCCTCCCCTGCCTCCTCCTCCTCCTCTCTCCTCCTCCTTGCCTCCTCCTCTTCCTCCTTCTCCCCCTCCTCCTCCTCTCCCCCTCCTCCTCCTGCTCCTCCTGCTCCTCTCCTCCTGCTCCTCCTTCTCCTGCTCCTCCTGCTTCTCCTGCTCCTCGGGTTCCTCCTCCTCCTCCTCCTCCCCTCCTCCTGCTCCTGCTCCTGCTCCTGCTCCTGCTCCTGCTCCTGCTCCTCCTCCTCCTCCTCCTCCTCCTCCTCCTCCTCCGTCTCCTCGGACATCCTGGACGGCATTGCTAGGCTACCTGAAGGCGCTCTTCATGTGCCGTTTGTAGACCGGGTAAGACAGGCGGCCAGGAAATTTCGTTGACGGACAGGGCTCGGCCATGATGGCATTCCTCCACGAGCGTGGTCGCTGTTGCCGGACGCTACCCTCGCAATGGTTCTATATCTTTGCTGGGCAGCAGAGTCGTGGGCGCGGTGCCCTACTGCTATGCTGTCAGTACATATCGTGCTGTGGGCCAAACCACAAGGAACATTTCGACCGATTGCTCTCCTGCCGCCTTTGCACCGTGTCTACACCAAGTTGGGCAACCATCGTGTCCGACACTGGGTTGCTGCAGATACGAGGCCTTTCTTCGCGTTCGGGGAAGGTCGCCCCACCCTCGACGTTGGCGCCAGGACCATGACATACGCAGAGGCTTACGGCAATATGAACAACACAGCGGCCCTGACAGCATTGATTCATATCGTAAGTGTTTCGATCGAGTTTGCTGGAATCGGGCATTGCGTGTAGCGCCTTTGTCCCGCCATGTACTACGGCCCGCGACGTATCAGATGAGGCTCGTCGCACTCATGCGGGGTGCAGGTGCAGCGGGGGGTCCTGCCAGGATGCTCGGTGGTAATGTTTCTCTTACAGCCGGTGATGATGTTGCCGTTTGATATATTCGAGGAAGCATATCTGAATGGAAGCGCGCACCACTGCCTGGATATTTACGCGGACCATATCACGCTGCGAGTGGTCGCCACAATGCAAGAGATTGCGATCGGCGCGAATCATTATGAGGTTGGAAATTGTGCTTAGAGCCCTGGATCTTCCCATTGCTCAGGACAAAACTAAACTCATGTCATCGGCCCCTGGGGGTGCAAATCAGGTTGCGCGGCAGGTAAGGCATCACGGGTTTCGCGCAACTACTGCATTAGAGGTTTGGGGCATGGAGGCCAAGGGAGGTGACCGACTGCAGTACGCGTCCGTCAAGAAAATAATGTCTAGCCCCAAGCGTCGCCTACCGAGGTTCAAGAGACTGGCAGTTATTGGAAATATTGGCAGAACGATTGCACAACCTTCGCTAAGCCCCGCCATTCTCTACGGAGTCCAAGTGGTCGGTGCCTCGATGATGCAAAGGGTCAGGATCGGCTGGCACAGGGCACCCACAGGCACGTCGACATGGCTAGCATAACAATTGGAGCAACGACGGGATCAACAACCCGAGGACTTTGCCGCGGCCGGGCCGCTGCACCTGTGGGCTCAGATGGCACCGGATCCAGCTATTCCGAATGAGGTGATAACACAGGCTGTCGAGATGCAACGTGCAAGGCTTGGCGTATCACCCCGGTGGAAGGAAGTTGCAGGATCAGCGTGGACTGTCTGGGGCATTCTGCAACAACTACGACGGGGGGCGGCTTCACGGGGATAACTTTGGACTTGACTGTTGCTTCCCCAGAGAGGATGCGCATTTTGGCCAGGCGGGCTTTTGGCAACATCAAGTGGGAAGAATGGGCCACTCTAGTGGATCGCGTACCTGCGCTGGATGTACCTCGTCGAGCACCGTGCGGGTATTGGGTCGAGCCTCTCCAGCTTTTCGTGGCCCCTCGTGGACAGGCTCGCCAGTGGAAATTGACAGCGCGTGCTCGAGAAGCGCTTCGCAACGCGGTGGTCGGAAGTCAGCGAGTCAGTGCTCGCAGGCTCGTCTCCACAATTACCGCTTTTCGAATCGAGGCAGTTGTTTCTAGTGTGATCAGGCGACGTCTTCTGGCCAGGCTGCACCCGTCGTCGTCGCCGCCCCTCGGCCTCTTGAGCCTCGACGAGGGCGTGCGGCAAAGCACTTCGGGTTCGGCGACCTCGGGGCGGCATCAACGCCTGGCCTCTTGGACCCCCCCCCTTGCCCCCTGACACCAGAGGTCAGAGGCCCCTCAAAAAGGATGAGTGAGGGGGGAGCGTCCAACGCCAAAGCCGCGACGGGAACGAGTGCTACCTTGTCTTCCACGGCGGCTGCGCCGTCGCCAGCTTCGGTGGCCTGGAGGACTGGGGACAATGGTGATGTGGATAACGTGATCCGGGACACGTTGCATCACAGGTTGTGGGTCTGTCCGAATATGCAGCAGGAGCGTCGCCCAGCAGTTGACCAGGACATCATCGAGGAGGCTCGATGTGCAGAGCCCAACGACATCCTGTACACGCGCTCCCTCATGCCTCGTGATCAACTGCCAATGGTGGATCCACCTCATATGGATCATACGTGAAGATACGCGTACGGCGGCGAGCACGAGACGATCACAGGAGAGATCTTCACGGACGGAGCTGGACACACACACACACACATGGCCTGAAGGAGCAAGAGCAGGGTGGGGGATCGCCCTGATGCACGGCCCACGTCTTCGAGGCCTGGAGTAAGGCCCCCTTCCTGATGCTCAGCAATCGATTCCAAGGGCTGAGATGTACGCAATGATCATGACGCTGAAGAACGGTATACTGCTTGTGTATATCCACAAGGACTGAATGATGACGCCCGACGGGCTCAACAGCGGACAGCAGAGGCGTCTACATCGGCAGCGCCCGAATGTCGATATCTGGCGTGACATATGGAGAGTGGTTGGCGACCATGGTGGCATAAGCGACGACCTCACGCTCACATTTGCCTAGTCACATCAAACGCTGGAGGACAGTCGACATAATCATGGCAAGAAGGGTAATGACTATGCGAACGTTGCTGCGAAGATGGAGCCTGACAGCTCACGTCATACCTCTAGCAGCACGGCGTCAACACAAGGAGCTGCTGGATAAGGTCAGAAATATTGCATCCTGGATTGGCAACACTCAGGAGCTGGTGGACATGCGGCCTGGCAGAGTACCGCCGATCGACGAGGAGGGGTCAAAGGAGGATTACCGAGCCCGTCGTGCTGCTGGACGCGCAGAAGTGTCCCTCCCTCAGCTCCTGGGGCGCCAACAATATCATGTGACTGATCGCGCAGCCTGTGAATGGACATGTGTGGTCTGCCCGCGCTTCGCGCGATCCGCCAAAGGAAGCGCATTAATGCGTAGGCAACTGTGCCCAGTGAGAGCCCGACCTGTGACCCCTGAGGCTCCGCCAGCCCCCAGGGAGCCGCAAGCGCCCTCAAGGACCCACGAAGCCTCAGGGGTCAAGAGGCCCAGAGTGTTTGACGACGACCAGGCCAGGGTGGCCCGACCCAGGGTGAAGCCCGACCTCCCCCCTTCCACTGACCTTCCTCCTCCTCCTCCTCCTCCTCCTCATCATCATCATCATCAGCAGCATCAGCATCAACATCAGCATCAGCATCAGCAACAGCACCAGCACCAGCACCATCATCATCTTAATAATAATAATTATTAATAATAATAATAATCAACAGCATCATCATCATCATCATCATCATCATCATCATCATCATCATCATCATCATCATCATCATCATCATCATCATCATCATCATCATCACCAGCACCAGCATCAGCATCAGCATCAGCATCAGCACCAACGTCAGCATCATCATCATCATCATCATCATCATCATCAGCATCATCATCATCATCATCATCATCATCATCATCATCATCATCATCATCATCCCAAGACCCTGGCCAAGCCCCTGGCGGAGCCCTTTCTCAGGCGGGTGCAACCTCGTGTGCGATTTGAAGCGCGACCCCAAAATGTCCTCCGTGAGGCGGCGGATGCCATCGGTCCGTTGACTGTTGGCTCGGAGAAGCGCCCCCGCATCGGGACCCTGAGCGGGTCAATGGGCGACCCTCCCGTGCGGGTGCCCCTTCCTCGTGGTCGGGGAGTTGCTCGCGACGCTGCCGACGTGGCTGGCGCTGACTCTGCTGGCTCGGGGCAGCGCCCCAGGCTCGCGGCCCCCAGTAGGGCCACGGCTGCTCCTCCCAGCTAGGTGCTCCCTCAGGCGGGGATCAGGCAGCCCGAGGCCGCCAGGGGTCACACCCTGTTTAGTCTATGTAGAGCGGGTGAGATCATTGGATGCACGCGTTGCGGTTCTTTCTCGGAGAGGGCTGCCAGGTCTCAGCTTTTCTCGCAGTGCGATCCCTCGGCGCTCAAACATACCCCTCGACGCTGATGGCGCCGAGATAACTTCGCCTTCAGCAGGCACCCAAGCGATGGGAAACGGCACCCCACCCCCTTGTCTCGTCGTCTGTTAGTTTCCGACCCCGCGGCCGAGTGGTTGGGGTTCCTCACTTACAGTCGGACTGGAATCACAATGTGAAATTGGCGTCCCCCACCGCCGCCAGCTGCAGGGCTCTTGTTGGTGCAGGGCCGTTCAGGTACTTTCCAACGCCTCTGTCGGCTAGCTATTCCTTTGCGCTGTCGGCGTTGCTGGGGTTGCTCCGAGCCCGCCTGCTTCTCCGCCTTGCTTTGTTTCGGCTGAACGGGCAAATCCGCCAGCTATTTGCATAGATGTCCGCGGCACTTGTTTGTATCTAGCTGCACGCCGCGCACCGACGCAGCAGCGCGGCCGTGAGGCCAACTATGACTCGTCGCGTTTCTGGCGTGCCGGACGTTGTCTGGTGTCTGCTGGTTAAGGCGCGGCACGCGTTGTGCACCAGGCCCTGGCCATGAGGCCCTGTCTTGCTCCTGACCAGCTCTCTGGACTGAGAGGGAGAGAGAGAGAGAGAAGGGGCCCTGAGACACACAAACAAATACACACACAAATAAAAGGATTCCCCGTATTGTCCGGTACTTTCTGGGTGTTTGTCTTCCCCCCCCACTTCCCATATTTTTCCATATTTTCCTGGGGATCGACGATTCATTGTGTCTGTGTGCTTGTTCCCCTCCTGACAGAGAGAGAGAGAGAGCGTATGCCCTGGCGCCGTGAAGCTTGCTGGGCGACAGCAGGGCATGTCCTCTTCGCTGTGTGGGCGATTGCGCGCTCTCGTCTTCTCCCAGCTGTCTCACCCTCCCCCTCCCCTCGACGCGGCGCGTCGCTTCATCTGCTCGCTCCTCCTCCTCCTCCCTCCTCCTCCTCCGACTCCTCCATCCTCTACCGTGCAGTCGCAACAAGGTCACAGGAAGGTGTGTCGAGAACAGGTGCCCCTTCGTCTCGGGCCGGGCGAAAGGGGGGGACAGCAAAAGGGGGTTTGAGAATCAGCTCACGTAGCTGATTTTCCCGGCGCCTCCCGGCGCTAGGAGGCGCCCATGTATCGAGGAATGAGCCCAGCGGCGGGGCCGAAACCAGCTGCATGCAGCAGATGTCGTAACCCCCCCTTTCCCAATCCCCCCCTTTCGTCCGGCCAGATCGTCGAAAACGAAGAGCACTCCAAGGCGGAGGGCCCAAGTGCAACCCTCCAAAACTGTGACTGTTCTCAATCCTCGTGCCAGCTGTTAGAGATGGGGTCGGAGTAGATGGGGTCGGAGGACCGCGCCGCATCGCCACTGCATCGCCGATGTATCGCCGATGCATCGCCGATGCATCGCCGATGCATCGTCGACGTCGGCGATGCATCGGCGACGTCGACGTGAAGAAAATTGGGTCCCGCATCGAGATGCATCGGCGATGCATCGGTGATGCTGCGCGATCCTCCGACCCCATCTGTTCCGCCCCCATCCAGGAGGCCTGGAGCTGCGCCCTCCGCTCCTCTCCTCCAGCCTGCCCCCGAATCGCGTCGGGGTCGCCGCGGCAACCCGATGCGCGCCCGAGGGCGGCGCCTTCTCAAAGTACTCGTACGACTCCACGTTGAAGCGCTCCCAGTCGAAGAGCTTCAGCCTCGCCGGGAAGGGACGGGGGCCCGGGGAAGGGCAGCAGGAGAGGCAGCGGAGCGAGGGGGGGGGGAGCAGCAGCGGGAGCAGGGCCGGGAAGAGGGAGGGGCAGGATGGAGGGAGGAGGAGGCAGGAGGAGGCAGGAGGAGGAGGAGGAGGAGGAGGAGGAGGAGGAGGAGGAGGAGGAGGAGGAGGAGGAGGAGGAGGAGGAGGAGGCAGGAGGAGGGAGGCAGGAGGAGGAGGAGGGAGGAGGAGGAGGAGGAGGAGGAGCAGGAGGAGCAGGAGGGAGGAGGTGGCACTGCAGCGGAGGGAGCGGGAAGCACGAGGGACGACCAAGATCTGGCATCCGAGCCGAGGCTGAAAGCCAACCGAAAAGACTTGTGCAAACGGCTGCACTGGGGAAGAGAGGGGCTTTGACTCCCGTGAAACGCGTGGAGACGAGCCGCGACCCTAGGCACCCTCAGCCTGCGACGATTCTAAGCGCCATCGCAGGGAGTGGCTGCTTATGCCCGCGGCTCCCGCCCTGCCAAGAACTCGTCTCGGAACCAAGCCTTAGCCTGTCCCGAGGTGGCGGTGCCACTTCAAGGCCGAAGAAGTGAGCACCGGGTTGGCGACTCGATCACAGCTCGTGCACCGCAGCGGCGGCACAGGAGAAAGCGGCCTGCAACCTACACGAGATGGCCGCAGCACAGTCGTGCATCACCAGAGAAGTACGGAATAACCACAAGTGTGCAGCTCCCCCACCAGGCCTCCCCGCATCGCCTGCGCACAGGGCGTCCGAACCGCTGAAGAGTGCATGGACAGTGGCGCGGGCTGCGGTGCCGTAAGACCAGCCTGCGGTCGGCCCCTTCAGTCGCAAGAGCAGGGCCGACTGCTGGGCGCATCGCAGCGCCCGCCCCCCGCCGTTCATGCGCCCGCTGCGCGCAAATGCCTATACACGACACTCTGAAGTGGAGGGAGGGGATGGGGATGGAGGGAGGAGGGAGAGGAGGAGGAGGAAGAGGAGGAGGAGGAGGAGGAGGAGGAGGAGGTGGTTCCAAGGAGGAGGAGGAGGAGGAGGAGGAGGAGGAGGAGGAGGAAGGGGGAGAGGGGAGGTGGAGGCCGTACCACCCCACGCCTGCCCGGCGGTCACAACGGCGGTCACCCCGGCTCTTCGCGGGGACCGCAGGCGGCCACAACCGCATCGGGGACACACCCTGGGGGACGTCTTGCGCATGCCACCGGTTGCCGCAACACCGGGGCCAGCTTCGTACTGGCTGTGGTCGGTGTGGCGTCCCAGGACGGCCAGGCCGCCCAGAGCCACAATCGAAGTGCTCGTGTCGAGGTCGGTGGGCTCCCCCCCGAAGGGGCCCTTCCGACAAATCCACCCAGTTGTGGTTGTGGTTGCTTGCCTAGAAAGGAGAAAACGCCATGAACATACACTTTTGGCGCCCCGCGCGGATTTCTTGGATCTGAGCTGGACCCACCTCCCTGGCGCGCGGAGCGCGCCAGGAGCGGCGCTAGAGGCGCCGCCAAGGGAAAATCCAAATCCAAGAAATCCCTGCGGGCCGCCACAAGTTTATGTTTGTGCAGTTTGTCCCCCCCCCTCGAGTTGTGGTTCCTTGTCTTGGGGAGACAAAAGACTCGGGTACGGGCGACTCGGGTTGGGCTGACGGGGCAATCATAAAAATGACGAACCCCAACCCGAAATTTGACGCGATCTCCCGCTGCAAACATCCCATGAAAGCTGTACCGTCATGATCCAGGACGCGCTCGTCAAAAAACGTCGGCAAACCCGAGCTCCAGCTTGCTCGAGTCTTACGCTTCCCCGATTGTTGTGCCCGGATCCCTGCTCCCGGTCCGCCTATACGACTCCGCGCCCCGCGCCCCGCGGCAAACGACCAATCCTCGCGAGCTGCTCGCGCCGACTGCGGAGCGGGGCAGCCGCTCGGGTCCCAGGCTGCGGCGCGCGGAGGCAGCGGCACCGATCACGAAGTGGAGCTCGTCACGGGGGCGGGGGGACGGGCTCGAAGGGGGGGGGAGCATCGGGCTGGCATCGGGCGACACATCGCCGATAGATCGGCGATAGGCCCCCGATGGCGAAGACGCGAAACTCCTTGGCGGGGCGGGCTGAGGAATGGGCGATTGGGGGCCGATGCGAACCTGCCCTGAGCCTATCCCCCCCCCCGTGACGCTGCCCCTGAGACTACCACCGCGCCCCCGCAAGAGGTGATCCTGGTGCCCTCGAGGCCGTCCTGCCCCTGCCTCAGGCCTCCCCCCTCACTTCTGCCACTTCTGCAGGGAGCGCACGCGCGGCCTGGGTGCCATGGCCCACAGGACGGCCCAGCGCAGGACGACAACGAGGCGAGGAAGAGGGGACGGGGGAGGAAGAATCCGCAGCCGAGGGACGAGGGACAAGGGAAGAGGGACGAGAAAGAGGAACGAAGGGAGGGAGGAGGGACGAGGGGGACGAGGGACTACCGGGTTGCTCCGAAGCCGACGGAAGCCGAATCTCCTGCGCAACGCCTCTCTTTGCACGGTGTCCCCAGTCAGCCACATGTCGACTCCCGGCAAACTAAACTGCGATCAACCTGCCGATGGCAAGCAAGGCTGCCCATCCGCTATCGGATGGACAGCCACAAAAAATTGCAATCGCAACGGACACTGGCCACCGCCTCCCCACTCCAGGCGCAGGTCTGCCTTCGGCGGCCTGGGCGGTTCCGCGCGGGCAGGCTGGCCTGATGCTCATCTCGAGGCCGTGCAGGCAGTCGAGGACAGTCAGGAAGAAGTCGTGCTTCTTGTTTGTCTGGCGTTGGAAAGGGCACATGCACAACTTCGAGCACCGGGGATACAACAAGTGGAGAGGAGGAGGAGGAGGAGGAGGAGGAGGAGGAGGAGGAGGAGAGCGACGACGACAGGAGTGGATTGATGACGATAAGGAGCGACTAGAAGGAGGACAGCGATGGCGAAGGACGGGGAGGTTGAAGACGAAGAAGAGAAAACATTATGCAGCGTAAACGACGTCCCTGAAACGCTCAAAGAGGGACCCGCGACTGTCCATAGAGGCCCCCAATGCGGCCTCCGAATGCCAAGATGCCCCGTAAGAGGCCCCAACGAGGCCCCAAGAAGCTCCCAGAAGCCCGCAAGAGGCCCTCCAGAGGCCCCCATGAAGGTCCCAGGAAACCCCGAGAAGCCACAAGGCGGCATCAGGAGGCATCCTTTTCCTCCTCGTCCTCATCGTCCTCCTTCTCCTCCCTCTCATCCTCCTTTCTCTTTTTTATCACAGGTGTTCCCACAAGGGCGCCTACAACGGTTGGGGGAGCGTGTAGTCCAATAGCTTGGCCAGACGTTCGCCCAACGCTTGGCCGCATGAGCGCTTTCAAAAGGCAAGCGGGCGCAGAGGTTCGACGCATTAGTGTTCGACACTTCCGCTGTTCGCGGGCCATCCGCTGGTCTCCGCCGAGGGCGAGACGTCATTTCTCGATCCCTCAAAGACGAAACCCTTTTCCTTAAACAGCTTGTCTGTACTGAAGGGGCCCTGGGACACACTAATAAATAGACACAACTCACAGGATTCCCCATCTGTTTCCATACTTTCTTGGTGTCTGTCTTCCGCCACACTTCCCATATTTTCCAATATTTTCTGGGGAATTGACGATTCATTGTGTCTGTGTGCTTGTTCCCTCCTGATGTGCGTGTCTGCGCCGAGCGGCCGGGCCGGCCGCGCCACACGCCCGGGGAGCGCTCCGACCACTGAGCCGCCCGCCCCGTCCCTTTCTTTCCTTCGGCCGCGCCCCTCCTCCCTTCTCCTCCTCCAGGGCTCCCAACTTCGCGCTTCGCGCTCCGCGAAGCGCGAATCACTTCGCGCTCTCGCGCCGCCCCCCCAAAGGGAGAGCAGGAGGACGAGGAGGAGGGGGAGCAGGAGCGAGGACCGCGAGGCGCGAACAACCTCGCGCCCTCGTGGGAGCCCTTGCCTCCTGCATGGTGGCACAAATTCGCTCAAACGGAACCCCCGTTTATGCCTTTCTCGCCAGCGCACTCACCCTCTTGGGCGCCCGAATTATCCGGGGTAACTCGGGTCCTGGGTAACTCGGGTTTGGATTCCCGAAAAAGGAACCCGAGTGTAAAAAAAATAAAAAAAAAAAAAAAGAAAAAAGAAAAAAAAAGTTAGAAAAAACAAAAAACAATTAAAAAAAAAAATAAGAACAAAGATAGAGCCCCTGACCGAGTTACCCCTGATGATGTGGGGCTCTGGACGCCCGAATTATCCGGGGTAACTCGGGTCCGGGGTAACTCGGGTTCGGATTCCCGAAAAACGAACCCGAGTTAGCCCTGACCCGAGTTACCCCTGATGATTCGGGGCTCTGACCATCTGCTTTGCCGCCGGCGCTGGAAAGGCCTGCACGTGCTTCTCACAAGACTCTTCCAAAGCACGTGTGGGCTTCCCTGGACCCGGCAGCGGCAGCCCGTGATCTCCCGCACGGTCTCCCCCCCCTGTTCTCCCGCGCGGTCCGCCGTACTTTTGGTCCCCCGAGTGGTCTCCCGCATCAACCAGCCTCGAACTTATCCCTATCCCCAAGATGGGCGAGCAAAAAGCGAGGACAATCTTAGGGATAGGCCCTCAGAGATAGAGGGAATCCTCAAGATCGGCATCGAGGTGAGGTGATGTCAAACATAGGGGTAAGGATATGTTTCAAACTGGTAACGCATGGTACCCCGCAGACTTTCCCGCACTGTCTCGCGCATGGTCTCTCCCGCGTGGCCTCCCGCATGGTTTCCCGAGTGATCTCCCGGATAGTCTCCCGCATGGCCGCACGCTCTCCCGAAGAGTCTCCCGTGCGGTCTCACGCATGTAGCCTCCCGCGTGGTCTCCCGTGCGGTCTCCCGCACGTGCAGCACGCCATGCTGCTCTCGCCGCTGCTTCGACCCCACGAGCCCCTTCGGCCGGGGTTCTCGAACGAATTCTCCCGGTCCCCTGCCAGAAACCTCTTCCCTTCCGGGAGATCTGCCTCCCCAGTCTCCCAGAGGTTTTTCGGGGCTGGGCCGCAACGGTGCTGCGTCCAAGATGGCCCACGCTGGCTCCGAGAGGGCCTCCGATGCTCCAAGGTGGCCTCCAAGGATTGCTCAAGATAGCCGACGATGGTCTCAGATAGCTTCCGACATACATCCAAACGGCTCGACGAAGGCCACAAAACGGTTCCGAGTGCTCTCGGAGCCTCCCTCAGGACACCCCCCAGATGCCCAAATCCTTCAACCGCCTCAGGGAACTCCCTGATGTGTGCCTCCTTGCGTTTTCGCTTCAGATGTGCTTTCAAGGCCTCACGATGGCCCCAAGATTGGCCAAGAAAGGCCCAGGAGGCACGAGCGCCTCAAGAGGGCTCCAAGAGCTTTTCGGTGGCCCCTGCGGGGGACCAAACGGGACGACCCCTCTCTTTTGATCGATAGCCTCCAAGATGGTCCCAAGAGGCCCTCCAAGGCTCCTAAGTGACTCCCAAGAAACCCCCGCGAGGGGCCCAAGATCCCCCAACAGAGCACCAAGAGGACCCCAAGATCCCCCTGGAATGTCCCAAGACGGCTCCAAGAGGCGATTTTGAGGGCTCTGTCCTCGTCCACGTTGTCCTCCTCCTCTTCGTCCTCGTCCTCGTCCCTGCCCTCATCGTCTTCCCGTCCTCTTCATCCTCGTCCTCGTCGTCGTGTTCGTCGCCGTCGTCGTCGTCGTCGTCGTCGTCGTCTGTTTCTTCTTCCTCCTCCTCCTCCTCCTGCTTCCCTCGCCAACCAAGAGGGCTCCGAAGAGGCCCTCCAAGGCCACCCCTTTGCATCGAGAGATCTATCTGTTCACCCCCGTTGCCTGCTTTGCTTCACTACATGCGCCTCGTCTTCCCTCTCTCCGCCAACTCTTACAGACAAGGTTTCCGAAGGGGCTGGTGGGGATATGCGAAGCGTGACGACTGATGCCGTTCAGGGCCTTCTACCGCCAGGGCACAATTTTGGAACGCCCAACGCGAGCCAAAAATGCGGGCAATGCTGTTGCCCAGGCGTGCTGACAGAAATCCGGGCGCACGGCGCAATCGTGGCCTGGAGCGCGGGAATGGGACGCGGTGCAGGGCCCGCGGTTCAAACATAACCTCCCAACGCCGCGCCCACGCACCCCTTCACTGTCCTGGCGTCTGTCCCCGTGCTCGCTGCCCCTCCCTCTCGCTTTCCGTCGCCTTCCCCGCCTCCCGCCTCCCGCCTCCACATTGCCCCCCCCCCCCCCCCCCTAACCCAGCCCCTCTTTTCCTCCTCACCTTCTGCCCCTCCCATTTTCCCCACCTTAGCGTTATCGCCTCTTCGGGATTCCAACGCTCCACGATGGCCCCATGGGCCGTAAAGATCGCCTCAAGATGGCCCAAGAGGGCCCCAAGACGACCCCCAAGGCAGCCCCACAAACCTTCAAGACGGCCCCCCTGAAGCGCCCAAGGAGGGACTAGGGACTGCCCAGAGAGGGGCCCAAGACGGCCTCCGAAGGTCAATGCGTCCAGTAGAAGCCCCCAGGGGCCCACGACAGGCCCCCAAGAGGCCGCATGGGGCCCCCGAAGAAACCCCAGGAGGCCCCCGAGAGGACCCTCAGAGGCCCCCGAGAGGATCCCGGGAAGCCCACAGAAGGCCCCGAGAGTGCCGCAGTAAGCCTCCTGATTCTCTGTCCTCTTCCTCCCGAGATGCACACAAGACGGCCCCAGAGTCCGCCAAGACGCCCAACAAGGATCCAAAAGAAGAAAACAAAAAAAACAAACAAAAAATAAAGACAGAAAGAAAAAAAAAAAAAAAAAAAGAAAAAAAAAACAAAAAGACAAAAGAAAATAAAAAAAATAAAAAAAAGAAAAAACAAAAAAATAAAAAAAAAAAACAAAACAAATAAAAAAATAAAAAAAATACCAAAAAAAAAAAAAAAGAAAAAAAAGGAATGTTTCGACATGGGTCCTTAAATATCGGCCCAAGACGCCCGGATGGGCCCGCAAGACGGCCCCAGGGGGTCGTAAGACGGCCCCACAGACCTCCGTCGCAAGAAATATCAATTAAATAAAGTATGCCGCATGGACGAAAAGCCTGATGCTGCGCACCACGCAAATCGGCATTCGAGCGGAGCCTTGCATGCGTCCTGCGACATGCTGTGCACCACACACACACACACACACGCACCACCCATATTTTCCTGTATATGTTTCTGGGAATCGACGATTAATTGTGTCTGTGTGTTTCTTTCCCTCCTGATGGATGACAACTCCACCAACCCTTCTTGGGCGCAAACCAACATGGATTAGGGATCCGTGGATCTGGCGCGCGGGCGCCCCAAATCCACGGAGAGGGAGAGGGAGGAGGGAGAGGAGGAGGAGGAAGAGGAGGAGGAGGAGGGAGAGGAGGAGGAGGGAGAGGAGGAGGAGGAGGAAGAGGAGGAGGAGGAGGAGGAGGCGGAGGATCTGGTCTCGCGGGGCATGGATCGAATAACGTACGCCCCGAAAAATGCAGCCTGTGATGCCTCATGTTGCGACGGAGCGGTTCGATCCCGCGTGGCAGCTGGACCCGTCACTAGTCCACGTTCCTCAATCCAGGCCTGCGCTTCCTCGACACATTCAGGCCTGCGCTTCCTCGGTTCCAAGTCCAACCTTGCCATTCGAAGGAGGCTTCTCTCTGCCCCCATACCCCCTCTCACTGGGCCTGGAATGGGGCGCCGCGGGGGCTCAAAGACGGCCCCAAGATTGCCTCCAAGATCGTTCGACATAGCCCAGAACCGCTCACAATATCTTCCAACATGACTCCAAGAGGCCCCAAGACCGCCCGAAGACGGCTTCAAGTATCCACAAAACCCTCTCAAAAACAGTATGTGTGTGTTTGCGTGCGTATGTGTGTGTGTGTGTGTGCGTGTGTGTGTGTGTGTATGTGTGAATGCGTGTGTTGGTGTGTGTGCGTGTGTGTGCATGTGTGAATATGCGTGTGTGTATAGGTGTGTGTGTGTGTGTTGGTGTGTGTGTGTTTGCGTGTGTGTGTGTGCGTGTGCGTGTGAATGTGTATGTGTGTGCGCGTGCGTGCGTGCGTGCGTGAGTGCGTGTGTGTGTGTGTCGGTGTGTGTGTGTGTGAACGTGTGCGTGCGTGCGTGTGCGTGTGCGTGTGCTTGTGCGTGGGCGTGGGCGTGCGTGTGCGTGTGCGTGTGCGTGTGCGTGTGCGTGTGCGTGCGCGTGCGCGTGCGCGTGCGCGTGCGCGTGCGCGTGCGCGTGCGCGTGCGTGCGTGTGTGCATGTTTGCGTGTGTGTGTGTGTGTGCGTCCGTGCGTGTGTGTGTGTGTGCGTGTGTGTGCGTGTGTGTGTGTATGTGTATGTGTGTGTTTGAATGTGTGTGTGTGTGTGTGTGTGTGGTGTGTGTGTGTGTGTGGGGTGTGTGTGTGTGTGTGTGTGTGTTGTGTGTTGTGTGTGTGTGTGTGTGGTGTGTGTGTGTGTGTTGTTTGTTGTGTGTGTGTTTGGGGGGGGGGGGTTGGGGTGGGTGGGTGGGTGGGTGGGTGGGTGGCGGGGTGGCGGGGTGGCGGGGCGTGCGCGTACGTGCATGCGTGCGTGCGCGCGGGCGGGCGGGCGAGGGGGCGGGCGCGCGCGCGTGTGTGCATCTGTTCATGTGCATGTGTGTATGTGTCTGTGTCCGTGTATGTGTGTATGTGTGTATGTGTGTATGTGTGTATGTGTGTATGTGTGTATGTGTATGTCTGTGTGTGTGTTTGTTTACGTGCGTGTGCAGGTTGTTGTGTGTGCGCGCGTACGGGGGCGTGCGTGTGCGTGTGCGTGTGCGTGTGCGTGTGCTTGTGCTTGCGTGTGCGTGTGCGTGTGCGTGGAAGAGTGCTTGTGCGTATGCGTGTGCGTGTGTTTGTGTATGTGTATTTGTGTATGTGTGTACGCGTGTGTGTGTGTGTGCGTGCTCAATGCATGCTACTTTCTCGCCTTTCGCTTCCGACGGGCTCTTGGGGCATCAGGATGGCTCCAAGATGGCCCAAGGGGGGCCCAAGAAGGGCCCAAGAAGGCTCCAAGACGGACCCAAGAGCCCAAGAGCGGCCCAAGATTACCCTAGGAGGCAACTTTTCGGGCCCTGGCGTTTACGACTCCCCTCGTTGGATGGATGCCACCAAGATAACCCCAAGAGGGCCCCCCAAGGTCCCGAGGAGGGCCCCAAGAGGTCCGAAGAAGGCTCTAAGATCTAAGAGAGCCTCAAATGCTTCCAAGATGGACCCAAGATGGCTCCAAGAGGCTCCCGGAGGTCTACTTTCACCAATGTTGCCTTCCTTGCTTCATTACGAGCGGATGGGGATACACGAAGCGTCAACGATACGCTGTGTGACAGAATTCCGAAGCGAATCCAGGGGTGGCGACGAGGGCCTCCCGGGAGGCCCAACAAGGCGAAAACAGGGCGAGGGCAGCGGTGACGCTACTTTTTTGCTCCTCTGACCCCTGGGGCTACCCCCGCCCCTGCGGCAGCCGCGGGGGAGGGGAGGCGGGGCAGCGCTGGCCGACGCGTCGATGTAGGGGACGAGGCCAGGCGTCACAAAGTTGAACGGCGCAAACGTGGAGTCCGCCAGCTGCCGCCGGACGATCACCAAATACCTGGCGCGGGGGAAACGCAAGCGCCCATCGTCGTGCGAAGATCACGACTGGGTAGTTCTCCACGGGAACCTCTGGAGGGGACCTCGCGAAGCAGCATCGGACTCCCACGAAAAGAAACTGGCCCGCGTTGCGAGGGGCCGGTCCCACGCGATGGGGCTCCCGAGATGTCCTGGAGTACCCGGACGTGACAGACAAACAGATCAGGGCGCTTGTTTTGGGGGGGAGGGAGAAGATGGGAGCGCACACGATGATTCAACATGGAATGTGAAACAGAACTAAAGCAGGACAGTGAAATCTGGCAGGCCTAACGTAACAAACACATGTCGATGCAGAATAACTGACAACGGATTCCCGCAAAGGCCGCTATCCCACCTAGTGGGATAGATCATAAATAACAGCACGCAGGCCTGGCCAGAAAGACGAAGCCAGGACAATGACACGATTGCGTGAGATACATTGGGAATCTCCGAACCTGGCGGCTCTCGAGGATGTCTCGGGCGCCGCGGTCTTCTCAGAACGTCCCAGAACGCTCTGAGAGCGCTCCGGAACGCTCTGCGACGGATTTACAGTCGGAGCTAGGAGAGAGTTCAAGGGCAAAAGACCCTCCGCAGGCCCAACCCGAAGGACATTCGACGGTACCCTCCTCCAGGATGCACGAGAACGTCCAACAAACACAGAGAACAGTAGGGTGCTCCAGATTTCGTAATAAAAGGGACGGGGTCTGGACCCTCCAAGACAAGCCATTTCAGACCTCCCCCGTGGGAGAACCCTCCAAAACATCGTCCCCAGACCCCCCCAGGCCCTCCAAGATAGCCTGGAAGAGACCCCCCCCGAAATGAGACCCCCCTCCCTTTCTTGCGAAATCTGGGGTGCCCTCCCCGAGCCGACCTCGATCTTATACCTCGGTCCTCCCGGCCCCGTCCGAGCGCGGGGGGCCCGGGGGAGGGAGGACTCCAAGGGGCGCGGGGGAGCGACGGCGCGGGGGCACTGCACGGCCCCAAGGGGGGGCAGGCATGTTTGCCAGGCGCCGACGCCACGACGCCCCCCGGATCGGCGAGGGGCCCCCGATGCGAGGCCACGCGTCGCAGAGACGTCGTGACCGAGCCTGTGCCCAGAGACTTGCCCGAGTCCGGCCGAGACTGGCGCCCGAAGTTGGCCGACGGCGCCCGCGTGCGACCGAAATGCGTGGTCCAAAACCAAGACGATTGCCATGTTCGGTCACAATGTCAGATCGGCCACTACGTTTTCGGTCACAACCTCGGGCACGTTGCCGGTCACCTTTTTTTTCTGGAGGAGTTTGCCACGGGCCGCTTGAGCTGCAGTGCGCGCGCTGCCACGCCAGCTGGCGGAGCACGTGCGGAAGGCAAGTAATGGGGAACGCCGGAGGACGGAGAGAAAACAGCCTTCAAACATCGTGCACGCGCTGTCACGCCTGCTGGCGGAGCACGTGAAGCAGGCATCAGGATTTGGAGAGAGGGGGAAATGTAGGGGTCGGGATCGAAAAGCAGGTTGGCCTCTGACAGTGGGGGTGTAGCATTCGTCGCGCTGGATTGGAAGAAAAAGTTCGATTCGATCAACGTGGGCGCGCAGGTGGAGGTTCTACGAAAGTCGGGGCCGCTTTAAACCGTCGGCCATCAGGCGGCCTAACAAATTGGGGCGGCAGGCTGCATCGAAGAATACCACGACTGGAGCGCGATAGTTCGCCTGGCGAAGGACCCAATCACATGCAGTTGTGAGTGCCGTCTTTGTGAGCAAGGCATTCGGTGTAGCTCCCTATGGGGCCACGAAACGCCGTGCTGGGTGTGGCGGGCGCATGCGCCCCCCCCCCCACTGGGGCCTTCGGTGGAGCTCCCTATGGAGCCACGAAGCGCTGTGCTGGGTGTGGCGGACGCATGCGCCCCCCCCCCCACTGGGACCTTCGGTGGAGCTCCCTATGGGGCCACGAAGCGCTGTGCTGGGTGTGGCGGACGCATGCGCCCCCCTCCACTGGGGCCTTCGGTGGAGCTCCCTATGGGGCCACGAAACACTGTGCTGGGTGTGGCGGACGCATGCGCCCCCCCCCCACTGGGGGTGGAGCTCCCTATGGGGCCACGAAACGCTGTGCTGGGTGTGGCGAACGCATGCGCCCCCCCCCCACTGGGGTCTTCGGTGGAGCTCCCTATGGGGCCACGAAACGCTGTGCTGGGTGTGGCGAACGCATGCGCCCCCCCCCCACTGGGGTCTTCGGTGGAGCTCCCTATGGGGCCACGAAACGCTGTGCTTCGTGTGGCGGACGCATGCCCCCCCCTCCACTGGGGTCTTCGGTGGAGCTCCCTATGGGGCCACGAAACGCCGTGCTGGGTGTGGCGGACGCATGCGCCCCCCCCCACTGGGACCTTCGGTGGAGCTCCCTATGGGGCCACGAAGCGCTGTGCTTCGTGTGGCGGACGCATGCGCCCCCCCCCCCCCACTGGGGCCTTCGGTGGAGCCCCCTATGGGGCAGCGAAACGCTGTGCTGGGTGTGGCGGACGCATGCGGGCTGTGCCACTGGGACCTTCGGTGGAGCTCCCTATGGAGCTACGAAACGTGTGAGAGGTGTGCCGAGAGGAAAGGCAAGGAGGGGGAGGAGGGAGGAGGGGGAGGAGGGAGGAGGGAGGAGGGGGAGGAGGAAGGAAGGAGGAGAGACGCGGGGCACCGTCTCTTCAAAACGAGGACGCAACACCACAGAACGGTTGGGAAAAACTCAGATTCTACTACACATGCCAATAGTTCATACTTCCGTCCCGCATCTACGCTCCTGGTCGCAAGCCGGCCGGCCAGTTGCCTCGAGACCGCTATCGCCCCGGCAGCCATCCATCACCACAGTGAACAGGCGGTCTGACCCGCATCCTCGGTGACCCAGCAGCTGCAAGCACCGTTTTGAATGGACGTCGTCCCAACCATCATCAAGAACGGCGCGGCCACAAGGCAGCCGATGACTGTGAACGCACAAATTAAGAAAGTCAAAATCATGGCGACGGCCCCCCGACCATCGCCCTTACCTCTCCGGTTGAACACAATGTCTGCCCGCGCCGCCTGCGCTTCCTGCTTTCCTTTTTGCGTCAGCGCGTCGTCCATACCTTTTTCAAAATAAACACTGCGCAACTGCGCCTCCAAACGTGCCTCGGCGGATGCCGGCAAATCCTGCGTCTGGAGCACCTGCACCATCTCTTCGCGGGTGACCCAGACGATCTGCGTCTCAGCAGAAATCTCGAAGGCCAGGGTGTGACCCACAGGTGCCTCGCTGACGAAACCAAACGACATGCCCATGAACTTGTTGGTTGTCGCTTCTCGTGTGTCAACAGAGACGGTGCTGTTGTCAACTGCGTAGGTCACGGTGTTGTCGCCCATGGTCTCAACGCGCTCACTGTCATGAGGGCACACTTCAGTCACATCGCCAATATCCTCCACGAAGAGCATTTTCAACATCACGGGGACCGCTGTTCTCTTGTATTCCTCTGGCAATTCCGTCAGCATGGCAGGAGCGTCGCTGGTGCTGGCTCCATGAACATTACGAGATCTGGCTGATCGAGTCCCTGTTCAGGATCGGGGGACAAGACCGTCTGGATGATGTTCCCACGGCACTCCACAATCGCGTTGGACCTCACGCCAGACTGCCCTGTGTAGTGGCAGATGTGGCCGTTGCGACACGGCAGCAGGCCCCCTTTGTAGTTGCACCCACCTCGTGGGCCTCGTGCAGGTCAGGGCCTGCAGCGGCAGGAAAGCGCTGGCGACCAGCACGAGGCAGGCGATGCCCTTGAACGCCATGCGCTCGCCTTATCGGGAAGTATCAGAACTGTATAGGGTTGTGTGCCGTACTGAGAGTATGCGTCGAGATGCTTGAGCTGATCTTGAGCCGAAACGGATTGAGCCAAAACGGATTTCTGGTCACCGATTCTTGTTAGGTCACCTACCTCTTCGGCTGATAGGGGCTGGGTGCCATGAGAAACCCACGCGCCTGGACAGGCTGGGGTACCCTGACCTAGATGGGCGAGGGATCGGCGATTGGGGGTCGATGCTGTCCCCCCGTGGGTCAGCGTCTCCTTTTAGAAAAAGCTAGGGTTAGGTTGGGCATGTCCTCCTACAGGCGGACGCTGGAAGAAATACCAAGAACAATTTTCAAAAGTTGTCAAACAACAAACAAACTTCACCATACTACTCTTTGGCTATCCTTGAAGATTCCTCCTGTAGAGGGACACGCCCGACTTAATTAAGCATAGGGGGCATGACCATAAACTGTCGGAAGTCCGCGCGAATCTCTTGGATCGTCGGTGGACTCCCCTCCCTGGCGCACGGAGCGCACCATTAGCGGCACCAGAGGCGCCGCCAGGGGGACCCCAAACAGATCCAAGAAATCCGCGCGGAGCTCCCCAAAGTCTCTGTTCACACAGTTCTCCTCTGGATTGGCCGACCCCCGTCAGCGCTGACCCCCGATAGCGTCACCGCACGCTCCTGGGCGGGGTGGGCCATCGGGCCCCTGTCGGCGATGAATAGGCGATTGGGGGTCGACGCTTCCCCCTCTGGGCCAGTCCCCGCTTTAGACTAAGAACAACGGCCTAAACAAAAACTGTCGAAGGTCCGCGCGGATCTCTTGGATCGGCGCTGGACCCCCCTTCCTGGCGCGCGCAGCGCACCGATAGCGGCGCCCGAGGCGCCGCCAGGGGGGCCCCAAACAGATCCAAGAAATCCGCGCGGGGCTCCGAAGATGTGGTGATGCCGAAGTGCTTGTTCAAGGGGATTGGCCGACCCCCGTCAGCGCTGACTCCCGATAGCGTCACCGCACACTCCCAGACGGGGTGGGCCATCGGGCCCCTCTCGACGGTGAGTGGCCGATTGGGGGTCGATGCCTCTCCCACTGGGCCAGATCCCCCTCCCAGACCCCCGACGTCGTGACTCTTCTGGAACCCGTCGTTCCTCCTGAGGCTGGCGGATTCTGATAGTGGTACAGAAGCCGCCGACCCTTCGGCGTGTGTGCGACGCTTTTCCGTTTGAGTCGTCGTCGTCGTCGTCGACGTCGTTGTCGTCGTCGTCAGCCCCAAGGAAGTTCAGGAACAAGGAAAATGAACGTCGTAGCTGAGTCGACTCCCTTCCCTCCGTCCCCTCCCTACCAAGGGGGGAGGGGGGGGGGGGGCGAAGTGGGGGAGGTATTGGGGGGGGGGACATGGCCCCGAGTAAGAACACCGCCCCCCCTCCGGGCTGGGCCCTGGCGGCTCCCGGCGGGCGGGGGGGGGGGCCCAGGTGAGAATGCCGCCCCCTCCCAAGTCCAGGCGGGTCCTGGGGTGGGGGGGAGGGGTCCTGGGTCAGAACACCGCCCCCAGCCATATCCACCGCCTGGGAACCGACGTCCTGGTGCCCCAGCGGGCGGCGTACGTATGTATACATATACATATATATATATATATATACATACACACATATTTTGTTATATACATATATATATATATATACACATACATATACGCACAGTTATACATCAATTTACCTAACAGCGAAGACTGATAGGTTTCTAGTGGGGTCAAAAGAGAGCATCATGACTCCTCAGGGGGGTCGGGGCGGGACCCGGGGCGGGACCCGGCGCGGCTGCCGTCGAAGCCCAAATCGCTTGGGACATCCTCGCAAAATCGCTCTTGGCGCTGCTAGAACTCCATTCCCGGCGTACATTTTGGATGCCCGGAGCCAACTGTAGGCCACTTCGTGGTCTTCGAGTTCCCAGAACTCCATTCCCGGGCCACATTTTGGATGCCCGGAGCCAACTGTAGGCCACTTCGTGGTCTTCGAGTTCCCAGAACTCCATTCCCGGGCCACATTTTGGATGCCCGGAGCCAACTGTAGGCCACTTCGTGCTCTTCGAGTTCCCAGAACTCCATTCCCGGGCCACATTTTGAATGCCCGGAGCCAACTGTAGGCCACTTCGTGCTCTTCGAGTTCCCAGAACTCCATTCCTGGGCATGATTTTGAATGCCCGGAGCCAACTGTAGGCCACTTCGTGTTCTTCTAGTTCCCAGAACTCCATTCCTGGGCCACATTTTGAATGCTGAGGCAGGCTGATGCTGCGGCCGAGGCAGGCTGAGGCTGAGGCAGGCTGAGGCAGGGCTGAGGCTGAGGCTGAGGCTGAGGCTGAGGCTGAGGCTGGCTGATGCTGAGGCAGGCTGAGGCTGAGGCTGAGGCTGATCAGGCTGAGGCTGAGGCTGAGGCTGAGGCTGAGGCCGAGGCTGAAGGCAGACTGAGGCTGAGGCTGAAGCAGGCTGAGGCTGAGGCTGAGGCAGGCTGAGGCTGAGGCAGGCTGAGGCTGAGGCTGAGGCAGGCTGAGGCTGAGGCTGTGACTGCGACTGCCGTTGCCACTGCGACTGTCATCGCGAATGCGACTACGACTGCGAGAACAGCAGAATTCTACAACTGGACTCTCATCTGAATCTGAAGGGGAATGCTTCCAGATATGCTCCTACACATCGCTGTTAGGTTGCTTTGCCGGGATAATTATATATATATATATATATATATATATAGGCCCTCGGGGGACCGAATCTGTCCATGTCCACCGCCTGTCGAGGTCTCCGAAAATCGATCCTCCGGGCGGTGGTCATGCGTCAATCCCCGCCTCGGACCCCCCGCCTCCCGGGCCCCGGCGGGTCCAGGGGGGGCCGCCAGCAGGGGCCGCCCTCCTCGTCCTCCTCCTCATCCTCAACCCTCCTCCTCCTCCTCCTCTCCTCCTCCTCCTCCTCCTCCTCCTCCTCCTCCTCCTCCTCCTCCTCGCCCCTCCTCCTCCTCCTCCTCCTCCTCCTCCTCCTCCTCCTCCTCCTCCTCCTCCTCCTCCTCCTCCTCCTCCTCCTCCTCCTCCCTCCTCCTCCTCCTCCCTCCTCCTCCTCCTCCTCCTCCTCCTCCTCCTCCTCCTCCTCCTCCTCCTCCTCCTCCTCCTCCTCCTCCCCTCCTCCTCCTCCTCCTCCTCCTCCTCCTCCTCCTCCTCCTCCTCCTCACTCCCCTCCTCCTCCTCCTCCTCCTCCTCCTCCTCCTCCTCCTCCTCCTCCTCCTCCTCCTCCTCCTCCTCCTCCTCCTCCTCCTCCTCCTCCTCCTCCTCCTCCTCCTCCTCCTCCTCCTCCTCCTCCTCCTCCTCCTCCTCTCCTCCTCACTCCTCCTCCTCCTCCTCCTCCTCCTCCTCCTCCTCCTCCTCCTCCTCCTCCTCCTCCTCCCCCTCCTCCCCTGGGGGGTCGCCAGCAGGGGCCCTGGGGGGGAGGTCCCGCCTCCGGGGTCGGCGGCACCGGCCGCAGGGCCTGCGCCACGCGACAGGAGATCCCCCAGGGGGGAGCGGGGATCCCTGTATTGGAGGCCTGGAAATGGGTACCAACACCAACACAGGGTGCTGCCTCCACAGGGGGAAGATGATCCTAGATTTTGGTGTTGGTGGTAATATTTCGGTCACCTTGGAAGCCAGAATATTGCCACCATCACCGAGATCGGGATCTTCTTCCCTCGGTGGAAGCACACCGCCAATATTGGTGTTGGTGTCAACCTCTAGGCCTGCGACTGTAGGCCCTGGTCAGCCGTCTCGCCCGAGACGTCCCAGTCAATCGGCCGCTCCAGTCGTTTCAAGGCGGGGGCCCCGGAGGTCTGGACCAATCCTCCATGGGGCCGATGCTTCGTCCTGAGCCCTTTCTTGAAGCTGCTGGGGCCCAGCGAGAGCCCCTGGAGGCCAAACAAGTTGGCAAACACCCGCCGCTCCAGTTTTTGTTGGAGCGTCGGACCTTGGGAATGACTCAGGGATCGTGATCTCCCCTCCGCGCTGGCTACATGTTTGATCTGGGCGGCCACGCTCCCTTGTGCAAAGATGCAGTCGGCGAAACACGGCAGCGCTCTCACCCCTGCCCCAGCTGCACCTCTCCTCACAGAACCCCTTGGAACACACAGGAATTCGACGAGCGCGTTCCACTACTCGCGAATGGCCTGGATCTGCCGCGGGGAAACTGAGCACGTTCAATCTCATCGAAGCAAACATCTATTTCGGGACGCTGGCGAGCAGGCACTCTGAGAGTAGTGGAACGCGCTCGGCGAGGCATGCACGTTTTCCCTGGCCGACCTCCCACTCCTCGACCGCCTCTTGAAGGATGTTGCTGTCAAGGCATCTTGCTGGGGTGATGCTCTCATTTTTGGCGGCGCGCAGCGGTGGGTAGGGGAAGGGAGGAAGGCTTCTTAGAAGGAGTCTGCTTCTTAGAAGGCGCCAGCCTTACATCTACAGACAAGGCCCGCACCTTCTAAGAAGTAGGGGTGCTCCTAAGAAGAAGCCTTCCCCCCTCCTCCAACCCCCCCTTTGCGCGCGGCCGATCTTCAACGTTGCTGCTATCAAGGTATCTTGCTGGGGTGATGCTCTCATTTCCGTGGCCCCAAGGCGTCCTGACCGCTTGCCCTGGGGTAGTTGTTCCGTCCTAGATAGAACTTCCTAGATGGGGTCGGAGTAGATGGGGTCGGAAGATCCCGCCGCATCGCCGATACATCGGCGATGCATCGGCGATGTATCGACGATGCACCAGCGATGCATCGTCGACGTCGGCGATGCATCGGCGAGGTCGACGTGAAGCAAATCGGGCTCCACGTCGAGCCGCATCGGCGATGCATTAGCGACGTGGCGCGATCCTCCGACCCCGTCCACTCCGACCCCATCTCAAGGAGTAGGAAGCCTACAGTCGGACTTGATTGGACAGGACACGCGAGAGGACATAAGACCCTTCCGAGGTTCCGAGGGCCACATTGCCATAGCAAGGTAAGGATGCATGGGACGCGAGACACAGGACACAAAGGTTCCCTTGATTTGGCAGGGTCGACCTACTGATCCGTGCCGACTGCAGACCCCCCGACAGAAACGCATCGTCAGAGGTGTGGGGCGGCTCGTTCGGCTACACGCAAGAGTGACCCTGGGTAAGAGTGACCTCTGGTGCGCGGCCTTTTGGTGGCCGCGGGGGACCAAACCTGGGCGCGCAAGCCGCTGCTCCTGCTTCGTTTTCGGCCACCTGGGGGCCCATCTGTGCCCGCACCAGTCGGCGGTGGACAAACCTCCCTTTAGTAAACCTCCCCCTAGTGAAAAAGGCCTGGGACCGACACCGACGGACCTGGGCCCGCAAAAATGACGGCCGCGACGCCCTCTCGCGAACCGAAAACGGCCAATTCCTTGATCGACGTGTCAGGGTACTCCAGATTTCGTAATAAAGGGAGGGGGGTCTCATTTCGGGGGGGGTCTCTTCCAGGCTATCTTGGAGGGCCTGGGGGGTCTGGGGACGATGTTTTGGAGGGTTCTCCCACGGGGGAGGTCTGAAGTGGCTTGTCTTGGAGGGTCCAGACCCCCTCCCTTTTATTACGAAATCTGGGGTAGGAGGTCTGCCCACCCCCGCACCCAAAGGGTCACTCCGGCGAAAGGCCACTCTCCTACGTCTGGGGCGCCTCGCGGCGGACGCCTCGGGCGCGGCGGCCGCTCCAGAGCGGACCCAGCACGAGCCCGGCCTCGGGGGGGGCCCATATATTGAAGAGGCCCTGGGACACAGAAATCAATACACACAAATAAGAAGATTCCTCATATTTCCCATCTTTTCTGGGCTTTGTGTCTCCCCCCCCACGTCCCGGCCCTATATTGAAGAGGCCCTGGGACACAGAAATAAACACACACAAATAAAAAGATGCCCCATATGTTTCTTCTCTTTTCTGGGTTTTTGTCTTCCCCCCCACGTGACCTTTTTGAAGAGGCCCTGGGACACACAAATAAACACACACAGATAAAACGATGCTCCACATTTTCCCATATAGTTTCGGGGCTTCTGTCTTCCCCCCCCCACGTCCCATAGTCTCCATATTTTCGGGGGAGTCGAAGATTACTTGTGCCTGTGTGCTTTTTGTTCCCTCCTGATATGTGTGCCGGGCCCCGGGGGGGCACGCTGGAGCGGGGCACACAGGGGGAGGACCTGCCCCCGGGGAAGGGGGTCGGGGCCTCTGGGGCCGCGCACCGAGCGCACCTCCTCGTCGGATGTCTGTTTGGACGCCCGAAATGGTCACGGAAAGAATGGGTGCAATGCCCAACAACAAATGCTGTCCCAAACCAACAGCGGCCGCTGTTGAGCAGGCGGCCTTCTGTCTCAAATGGACACAGGCCGCGGCGGCGTGGACAGCGAGTCTAGTTAAAAATGAGCAAGATCCGCTGTTCGGCATTGTACCCATTCTTTCCGTACCCATTTCGGGCGTCCAGAGTCTGGGGGCCGCAACCCAGACCGAACCCAATCGAAGCGTGAAACAACCACGGCGGAACTGTTGTTCGCTGGCTTCGGCCTCCCTTTCCTCTCCCGGGCCGCGGGGCCGTCAAGAGACGACTCAAGATGAGAAACGGGTGTTCCCAGGGAAAGGGTCGAGACCTCTGGGGGTCGACGTCGTGAACAAAATCACGATGTCGGGGGTCTGGGGATGTTTGGGGGCCGCAAGACCAGTCCGGGTGAGGGCAAATGGGGAATCTCTGAGACTCGGCGGGTCTGGAGGATGTGTCGCGGCACGGTCCGCGTGGGCCTCCCCGCCTCAAACGAAGGCAGGATGCGGACGAGTCTGGGCGAGGGCAACTCGGGAATGATTTGTTCTGTGGGACAGGTTGCTCTGGTGCGAAGAACAAAGGTCGCCCCCCCCGACCAGGGGGAAACTACAGTCGGACTTGATTGGACAGGACACGCGAGAGGACACAAGACCCTTCCGAGGGTCACATTGCCACAGGAATGTAGGAAGCATGGGTCGCGAGACACAGGACACAAGGATACCCTTGATTTGGTAGGGTCGACCTCCTAATCCGGGCCGACTCTACACTCCAATTTCTGGGCCCAAAGAGAATTGCCCGGTTCCAGAATCTGCTCGATCCCAGAATCTCTGAGACCTGCCGGGTCCAAGGGCTGCGTCGGACGTCGCGGCCCGCTCCAGAGCGCTCCAGAACGCTGCAAGGGCGTCCTGGGAGGCTCTGGGACTACTCCTCCTCCTCTTCCCTCCTCCTCTTCCCCCCTCTTCCCTCCTCCTCCTCCTCCTCCTCCTCCTCCTCCTCCTCCTTCGCACTCCTCCTTCTCCTCCCTCCTCCTCCCCCTCCTCCCCCTCCTCCTCCTCCTCCTCCTCCTCCTCCTCCTCGTCCCTCCTCCTCTTCGTCCTCCTCCTCCTCCTCCTCCTCCCCCTCCTCCTCCTCCTCCCGTCCTCCACCTCCTCCTCTCCTCCTCCCTCCTCCTCCTCGTCTCCTCCTCCTCCACCTCCTCCTCCTCCTCCTCCCATCCTCTTCCCCTCCTCCTCCACCTCCTCCCTTCTCCTCCCTCTTCCTCCTCCTCCTCCTCCTCCTCCTCCTCCTCCTCCTCCTCCTCCTCCTCCTCCTCCTCCTCATCCTCCTCCTCCTCCTCCTCTCCTCCTCCTCCTCCTCCTCCTCCTCCTCCTCCTCCTCCTCCTCCTCCACTGGGCCTGCCTGACCACCACAGCCGGACCCTGCCCTGGGGCACCTGGGGGGTATGGGGAGAGGGGCCGCAGAGCGCTCCGAGGGCGCTCTGGGAGGCTCTGGGACAATCCATCCACATCCTGGTCAGGCCTGCCAGACCACCATCGCCCGACTCTGTTCAGGGGAGGCGGGGTTGTGGGCGAGCGGGGCAGGGTAGGATCAGTCAGCATCGAATCGGCAACTCGGATCGAATCGGAAGGTGCGTCGGATCTGGCCGCATCGGCGCGCAGTCAGAACCAGATCGGGTCGGCCGCGCTGTGACCACAACAACGCCGTGCAAGCATCGGGCCGCATGGGAAAGTCGGAACATCCGAATCGAACCGGGTCGGACTGGCGAATCGGATCGACCGGATCGCGATGAACCCTGAAGGGGGTCCGCGGAATCGGTGAAGCCAGTGCTGCGCCCGCCGCACAGTTCTCCCTTGGTGCCTGCTGGCACCTCCTCCCATGTGCCCTCCGTCCGTCTCCCTCCCTCCCGCCCCCGGCCTCACTTTCGCTCGGCCCAAGAGCACCCGAGTAGGTCCCCGCGCGCATCCCTTCCCCCTCCACTCCTGCCCCCTCCCTCCTTGCACCCTCCTTCGTCCTCCTTCCACCTCGCTTTGCTCATCCACCGCCTCCCTCCTTTGGAGGGACACAAAAGTACCGATACTGATGCCCTCCAGAACTCTCCCAAGGTGCGTTCTGACCAGCATGTCCAGGAGAGTCCAGCCGTGGGCGACGAGGGCTCTCCAGGACGAGCACTGGCATCGGTGTCCTCTTCCCCTTGTGATCTTCCGCCCACTCGCCCTCCCTCCGCCCCCCCCACATCGACCAATCCCCCCCCCTCAGACCTCCACCTCGCCCTCTCGCTCCTTTTAAAGGGGCCCTGGGACACACAAATAAATGCAGACAAATAAAAAGATTCCCCTATATCTTTCCACATGTCTTGGATTTTCGTCCTCCCCCCCTTCCCATACTTTCCCATATCTTCTGGGGGGTCGACGATTAATTGTGTCTGTGTGCGTGCTTTTTTCCCTCGGCACCGCCTGATTCCGAAGCTTTGCCTCCTCCTGGCCTCGTTCTGCGGCTGCGCCCCCCTTTTCCTTTTTCCTTTCCCATCTCTGGTGAATTCAAGCTTTGCGCGGCCCGCTTAGCTTCGACCGGAAGAGGTGCGCTCTCGACCCGCGAATCAAAAAAATGTGTTTTTTTCCCTCCTGACCTTTGCATGGGGGAAACGGGTCCTGCAGGAAACGGGCCTTGGACCCCGGGGACTCGTTCCCCCAAGCTGATTCGATCCTCCCGGGCCGTGTCTTGCCGTCGCTCGGACGTCCATTTCCCGTGTTTTTTTTCCGGTTTCGTGCGTGTTGTTTTTTGCTCGATGGTCCAGGATGGTCCTCGATGGTTCTCGCCGAGAAAAAAAAAGCACACGTCCGAGCGATGCCAAAGTGTTCTGACAGTGCCGGGGGCCCGTGGAGGGCCACGAGAGAGCCCGAATAAACGGCACACAGCCCGAGGACCCGCATCCTTCAGGACCCGTTTTCAGAGGCCTCCTCGATGGGGTCCGAGTACAGTCAAAAACCCAGGTAAGGACGCGCGGTAAGGACGCAAGACCCCTGGAAGCCGAAGTTGGGATTGTTGGGGCGGCGGACGACGAAAACCCCAAGGACGCAAGAGCAAGGAAGAGCAAGGACGCAAGGGTACCCTGAGCAAAGTCCCGCGTCCTTATTAGGGTTTTTGACTGTAGATGGGGTCGAAGAATCGCGCCGCATCGCCAATGCATCGCCGATGCATCGGCGATGCATCGGCGGCGTCGGCGTGGGGAAGCACGGCCTCCACACCGAGCCGCATCGCCGATGCGTCGGCGATGCGGCGCGATCCTCCGGCCCCATCTACTCCGACCCCATCTAAGAGGCCTACGAGTGTTCCTCATGTCGGGTCGGGCGAAAGGGGGGGGAAGCAAAGGGGGGGTTTGAGAATCAGCTCACGTAGCTGACTTTCCTGGCGCCTCCCGGCGCTGGAGGCGGCCATGTATCGAGGAATGGGCCCCTCGGTGAGGCCAAAACCAGCTGCAGGCAGCAAATTTCGTAACCCTCCCTTTCCCAATGCCCCCCTTTCCCCCGGCTCGCGATCGGGATAAATCGCTCCAGAGCGTTCCGGAACGCTCTCAGAGCGTTCCGGAACGCTCTGGAGCGGCCGCGGCGCCCAATACATCCTCCAAACCCGCCGATTCTCAGAGATTTCGAGTTATCCCGATCCGATTTTATCCCGATCTTCGCGTCGTTTCACTCACGGCGAGCGCCGACCGCCGTCCGGCCGGCCGCCCTCCTCTTGCGGTGCCCGTGGCCCGCGCGCCCCCGGCGGGGGCGATAGGGGGCACGCGCAGATCAGGTAGGCCGCGTTCGAGCGCCGCTTGGGGTCGGCGGAGCAGCAGTGGATGATGCGCTTGCCTCTATGGCCGGGGGGGGGGGGCGAGAGGGCAGGTTTAAGTCGCGCGTGTCCCCCTACAGTCGAGGCGTTGGCCTAAGGAACCCTAAATAAGGAACGAGGCGCCTATTTTCCACAAGTTGAGCTTCGATTCCGTATCGAAAACCTAAGGAAAATCCAGGGCAAGCTGCGAAACACTTAAGGAACACGGAGCCCCTCCCCAACGAAAAGGGTTCCTTCTTCAGGGCCCGACTGTACAGGGGGAGACTCGACGAAAAATTCAACATACGCAGCAAAATGGACCAAAATGGCCAAATAATCGGAGGTGAGGGGGTGAGATCGAAGAGGAACGGCGAGCCCCCCTACCGGGAAATCGATTTCGGTTTCGTGTTCGTGCGTGCCGTGCGGGCGAGGCGAAGCTGCGTGGGCGGGAGAGAGAAAGTCTCCTGTGGCTGAGGCGCGGCCGGACCAAATGATTCCCTTCCGGGCGGCCGGGGCCCCGCGGAGTCCCGCCGGTGTCCCGCGGTGTCCCGCGGTGTCCCGCGGTGTCCCGCGGTTTCCCGCCGGTGTCCCGCGGTGTCCCGCGAGGATGATGATGATGATGATGCTGATGATGATGATGATGACGATGATGATGATGATGATGATGATGATGATGATGATGATGATGATGATGATGATGATGAGATGATGTTGATGATGATGATGATGATGATTATGATGATGATGATGATGATGAGATGATGGTGATGGTGTCCCGATGATGATGATGATGATGATGATGATGATGTTGATGATGGTGTTGATGATGATAGTGTCCCGATGATGAGGATGATGATGCTCATGATGATTATGTTGATGATGATGACGATGATGGTGTCCCGATGATGATGATGATGATGATGATGATGATGTTGATGATGATGATGATGATGATTCCGATGATATTGGCGATGATGATGTTGATGGAAATGGTGTCCCGGCGATAATGATGTTGATGATGATGTTGATGGTGGTGATGGTGTCCCGATGATGATGCTGATGATGATGATGATGGTGATGATGATGATGGTGATGCTGATGGTGCCCCGAAGATGATAATAATGATAATGACGATGTTGCTGCTGATGATGATGATGATGATGTTGCTCATGATGATGATGGTGCCCCAATGATGATGATGATGCTGTTGATGATGATGATGCCGATGATGATGATGCGATGATCATGATGATGATGTTCCGAGGATGATGACGATATTGATGATAATGTTGATGATGAGAACGATGGTGATCATGATGGTGTCCCGATTATGATGATGATTATGATGATGCTGCTGATGATGATGACGATGACTGTGTCCCGATGATGATGATGATGATGATGATGATGATGACGATGATGAGATGATGATGGTGATGATGTCCCGATGATGATGCTGACGTTGATGATGATGTGTATGGTGATGATGATGACGGTGCCCTCATGATGATGACGATGTTGGTGATGATGTTGATGTTGATGATGTTGATGATGATGATGACGTTGATTGTGAGAGCGATTGTGATATCGATAGTGAGAACGATATTGAGACCGACTGTGAGATCGATTGTGTGATCGATTGTGAGATCGATTGTGAGATCAATTGTGAGATCGATCGAATGAGATAGATCGAGTGAGATCGATTGTGAGATCGATCGAGTGAGATCGATCGAGCGAGACCGATAGTGAGATCGAGATTGAGATCGACAGTGAGACCGATCGAGTGAGACGTTGGTTCCCCCCCCCCGAACCTCCTTATCACCCGAAGGGTGGTCGTATAGGTACTCAAAAGATAGTCCCCAAGACTATGTTTTGACTGTTCTTGAATATTCTCCCTGTAGAGGGACAGACCCGATTTGGAGGTAGGTGCCCATTCGTGCGACCCGAAAAAAAGAGAAAAGAGAGACAGAGAGAGACAGAGAGCGTGCTGCCATTGTTGGAGTGCGCGCGCGCATCCCACCCCCTCAACGGCACTGTGGCGGGTGGGATGCTTCTGCTCGCGCTACACGATGCCCGTGACCCAAGCCCCCCCGCCCTGCCTCAGCTGCGCCCGAGAGTCAGCTCCCTCATTGCCTTCACCGCCACGCCGCCCCCTTCAAAGGGGGAAGGCGCGTCGCTGCGCGACTGAGCCTTTGTCGCGCGCGGGTGTCGCGCTGCGCGCATCGGTCGCTCTGCGACCTCCGCAACGGTGGAACGGTCTGCCCAAATACGCGCATCTTTGCGCGACTGATCATTTGTCGAGCGCGTCGCGCGTAGAAAAGGGAAGGCGCCTCGTCACGCGACTAATCATTTGTTGCGCGCGTCGCGCGCGGGAGTCGCGCTTCGTGCATCAGTCGCTATGCGACAAGGGTGGGGGGGGGTCCTCCTGGGACCTCCTGGGTTTCCTGGGGGTTCCTGGAGGCTCCTGGGGCTTCCTGGGGGTTCCTGGAGCCTCCTGGGGCTTCCTGGGGCTTCCTGGGGCTTCGCGGGGCCTCCTGTGGTCTCTTGGAGCCTCCTGGGCCCTCCTGGAGCTTCCTCGGGCTTGCTGTGGCTATCTGGGGCATCTTGGGGCTTCCTGGGGTCTCCTGGGGCCTGAAATCCGTGCTCAGGAGTCTTCGATAACAAATCATTGCAAAGGAACACAAACATTTTGCACATAATCTTTAATTCGGGAACTTTCATACATAACCCTCGCGAAGGGCACCTGCGTAAAAAATCCTGGACCGTCCTAAAAGAAAAATGATACACAACCCGCTTCAAGAACCCTTAATGAAGTCCTTACGCAAGAAAACTGCATGAATAATCCCTATTCCGGAACCTTGAACACATAATCCGTATTTAGAGAAACGTGGTAAAACAAATACGTACTAGCGAACCGTGAATAAAGAATCCGTGCTAAAGAACCGTTCAGAAATAATCATCATTAAGCATTCATGAGAAGGGAACCTTGAAGACGGAAGATAAAGAATCCTTACTCACGAACCCTGAACAAATAATCCCCACGAAGGCAACGACCCTTAGTACAGAATCCGCACTCTGAAACCATTGATCCATAATCATTACTAAAGGACCTTCGTAAATAATCCGCACCGGGGAACGCCCCGAAAGAATCCGTACTAAGGTGAACTTTCAAAATGATCCTTACACAGAGAACCTTCGTGAGGAATATTTGCTAGAACAGGGACATTAGGAAAGAACCCCCACTTGGGTAAGGTTGACACACTCATAATACAGAACCCGTACAACGAAAGCCTTATGAATTTTTGTATTCTGAGAAGCCTCTATTACAGCTTTACCGAGAGAAAGCGAATACATAATCCTGTCTCAGGGAGCCTGTAACGAGTCCGCACTGAAGGAACATCTGTGAATAATCCGTACTATATGGAACTGGATGGATAATCCAAACTAAGGACCCCCCTGGTAGGAATCCGAACGAAAAAAACCTTAGTAATGCGTCCTTGATGCGGTAATATTGACTCAGAATCCGTACTAAGGGCAGTTTAGTAAGGATTCGTTACCCCGTGCCCATTCATCACCATCATCATCATATCGCCACCATCGGCATCACCAACTCCACCATCATCAACATACTCATCATCATCTTCGGCATCGCCGCCACCGCCACTGCTGCCACAATCATCATTCGCATCATCACCAGCAGCAGCCGCATCATCGTCACTGCCGTCGTCGTCATCAACATCACCATCGCCGTCACCATCGTCACAATAAATAACCGTGACACCGCAAACAACACAGTCGTCCCCCCCATAATCATCGCCACCATCATCATCGCCAGAGTATTACCATGACACTCGCACTCTCCACCAAAAGCATCGCCATCACCACCAACATCGCCATCACAGTCGTAATCGCCGTTAACATCAGCAACATATGCACCGTTAACAGCGTCAACATCATCACCATTAACATACCCACCACCATAATCATCAACATCATCATCATGAACAACCCCATCATCAACAACAGCAACATCAACAAATTCAACATCACCAATATCATCACAAGCACAACCACCGTCATCATAAGCATGACCCTCAGCAGCATGGCCATCATCATTCACATATGAACCACCACCATGACCACCATCACCAGCACCAACATGAACACAATTCAACCCCACCAATCGAAAAACCATCACCGACGTCTCAAGCGAGGACTCAGTGAGAGAAAGAGAGAAAGAAAAAGAGAGAAAGAGAGAGAGAGAGAGAGAACAAAAAAACAATAAACACTAAAACACAACAGCGAACACCAAGACAGAAACAAAGCTCGGTTCCTGCGTAATGTGCGAAGAACTACCGAGCGAGACCCCGACTCAAGAGTCAAATAATAGGAAGGCTTGGGCGAGAAGTCTAGGCGACAGCATGTAAATTGCAAAAAACAAAAAAAACAAGAGCACGAATCCTGGGCATATCGCGAGGACGTCTCGAGCGACAGCGCAATTCATTTGAGGATTGGGGAGTCCCTGAGGACCCTTCGGAGTCCATACGAATCCCGAGGAATCCTTCGGGCTCGGTCGGGATCCTCTGAAACCCATAGGAATCCGAAAGGATTATCAGGAAAACATGGAATCCTCTGACTCTCTAGGGACCCTGGGGAACCAGAAGGCATCCTCAGGAATCAATTTCAATCCAAGGGTGTTCTTCGTAGGAGTTTCTGAAGAATCAACAGGAAACTTCTGCAATTCCGAGGAACGCCCAGGAATCCAACGAATCCAGAAGAACCCTTACGATTACCCGACAACCATACGAATCCTCAAGACTCGATAGGAATCCGCAACTCAGCAACCCAAGGACCCCCCAGGGACCCTTGGGATCCTGAGGGGTTCCAATGGGCTCCTAGAGATTCCCGATGATTCCTAGGGATTCCCATGTATGCCTGAACCATGCATTCTTGTGGATTCCAGAGGACCCCTATGAATTCGTAACGGATTCCTGAGGATTCGGATGGTTTCCTGGAGGGTTCCTGGGGGGTGCTCAGGATT